TTTAATGAAAGCGCATCAATAAATGCATTGCTCGGTGAGTAGGTATTTATCTGGACATCCCATAGGTATATTTCTTAAGTTTGGGCTTTCATATTCTGTTTGAACCATCCCACTCCATACTCGTTTCCTCAGTATGATCCCACGAATATAAGTTATAATGGCCAGCAAATGTGTATTACAGCTTGGTATGAAGCGATAGCCATTGCTACATGGCTTAGAGACAGAACTAGAGGACCACAACCTGGTGGTTACACAATGAGACGACAACGATCGAGTCTCAAACACACAAATCATCGAGCAAAGTTCGCTCAGGAACACTCACTCGTTCTTCTCATCAGTCCACTTCTTGGTCACTGTGAACACAAAACGCAAAAAGAGTACAGTCTAGTGGACCCGTCAGCAGGTACAACCAATGGCGAAACTAGACAAGACATCAGCCTGCCTAGTCATCCCGGCACAGTTCGCACACGAACACACACTCGTCCTCTTCATCAATCCCTGCACAGGCATCGTGCGCCCATTTATCGCAGAGAGCACATCGCGACCAAGACTCGCTCGATTTGGACATGGAGAAGAAGGACCCACAGTACAGACAAGCTACATCTTCGTCCGAGGACTCCTCAAAGGTAAGCTTTCGCGGCGTACGCTTCTTTTGTTTGCGCTGCGGTTTCTGAGCTTCCACACTCTTCCTTTTTCTTCCTTTAGACTGACTTCTGTCGTCATTTTTCTTTCCTCCCTGTCTTCCTTCTTTTCCTTTGAGTCTCTTCTCGAGATCCTCCTTGTATGGTGTGTCAGTCAAGACACATGTTTTGCCTTTCTTTCGTCCTTAACCTCTCTCATCCCCTGAGTGCACTTTTGGCACGGGGAGGATTCCGCGGGGAGACACATAGGAGTTTGCGGGCGTGTCATTTTGACCTTGGGAAGCATGGCTCGGTCCAGCTGAGCATGACACTTTTAGAACGTCATCTTCGTCATCGCTAGAGCTTGAGAAATCATCTGGCAGAGCCCCAGCGGTGAGCAACTTCGCCGGAGTTTCGGCATTAGTCGAGCTTCCCTGCCCCGATATTCCAGCCTGCGTTGCGTCTCCGGTGACAGTATCCGAGGACTCCCGAACGTTCGTGCTCACCGAGACATCAGCGTCAGAGGGCCCGGGCATGGGCAGAGGAGCTGCTGCTGAGTTGAGACCCACTGGTGCGTCTGCGGTGCCGGCCAGCGAGATGTTCGTTGTTTCTGCCGCTGCGTAGTCTTCTTCACCAAACACATGGCGGTTTGAGGGAAAGATTCCCGTGACTTCGAAGCCCTTCAACGCCGTCTTCACTGTTGCCGCCTGCACGTAGGCTGACCCGATCATCTCCTCCATCTCATACAGTGTGGTAACTTTACCAGGGTTGTTTCGGAGCCACGTTCTCTGACCTTGGAAGAAGAAGGTGCTGACGGGAAGCATGAACGTCCGGTCCAGTGGTTGAAGGCGGTGTGAGGTGTGCGGAGGAATAATGAGCATCACCACACCTGCTTCCCTGCACAGCAGGATGGCTGCGAGGCTCTTGGTGTGACTGGCATGTCTATCCAGTATGAGAAGGACTGGATCCTGTTTCGAGGGCTTCGCGTGCTGTATGAAATGGTCAAGCTATTTCACGAACAGCTCCTTCTGCATCCAACCAGACTCATGGTACAGCACCAGGCTACCTGGGGTAAGACCCTTCTCCGACTGCCGGTTGACCCTCTTTATTGGGGATATCACACCTGGAGGTATGTAGCTCCCCGCAGCGTTGATACACATGACCCCGGTAACCAGCGTGCCTCGTTCCGCAGATGTCAGTTGGCCGACCTGCTTGCACCCTTTCCTCGTCAGCACCTTCTCTTGTTTTGTTGCAATCGTGTTGAACCCCGTTTCATCCATGTTGTAGATGCGTGTGGGACCGAACTGGGCAGAATCCATCTGCGACTCAAGGTTGTCAAAAGACGCGTTGACATTGACTGAGTTGAACAACGCGGCGCGAGCAACGCTTGCGGCCTCTGGTGTCCTTAGTGAGGCCGTGGAGTTCCTCTTGCGGAAGCACCGTATCCACGCCTCCCCTGCCATCTTTGTCACCGTGTTGAATAGGTGAGTGATTTTGTTTCTGTCTGAGAACTCATATGCGAGCTTCTTGAGGTCAGTCAGCGTTATTCCGAACATCCGGTTTTAGAGCTCCATTATGCGCTGTACCAAGCCTCACTCCTGAGCTTCCGTGAAAACAGGTTTGTGTCGACCCAGGCCCTTCTCTGTGGCCTCTGTTATTGACATTGCCCGTACCTTTTTCAGCCGTCTGTCGAGAGTCGACTTCGGGACCAGAAAGCGGCGTGCCGCTTCTTTGGTGGAAATTTTTCCCACCTTGACTGCCTTGATAGCCTGTGCCAGCGTATCATGCTTCCAGCATTGCTGATCGGTTTTTCTCTTGTAATTTCGAACCATTCTCCGTATGGCGAAGTAGTTCCTCTGTAAGAGAGAACGTCAGCGTGAACGTTGAACGGATTTTGGAGGGTTATTTGCCCCTTAAGCCCCTCTCCCCTTCCCACCCCTCCCTGGACCCTTCAGTGTACCTATATTCCTTTTTACGAACTAGGAAAACGTTTACCTGCTATGAAAAATTAAGTACAATTATCAAAGCGAAACACCTAACCGCATACCTATAACTAGTCGGTAATAGACCATTTCATTTCTTGTGTTAAATTAGTTGCGTTTAATATTAAGGGCGATATGATGACACCTTCTATGTAATGCTATAGAATAAGTCAGTCCCAATGTTCCAGAAACAAGAAACCTTGAACTATTTAGTAATTTAAAAACAAAACATTGAATCGTATGTGTTTAAAGGGAATGTAAGGCTTTTTCACACTTCATTGGAGTTAGCAGCGTTTCTGGGCACAACATGATAAATAAACATTAAAACTTACTACAATTTGCTGGATCTTGCCCATAAGCAGAGAAAAGAAAACTTAAATTTATTTTTCTACGCCAGTTCTGTTAGACAGAATATCTATGTGTTAGTTCTTACGCCAGTGCCTGTGCATGCAGAGAAATACACCCTTTAAATGTACGGAAAAGTACGAAATGTACTGTTAGTTTCATGCCATAATGACCAAAAATGTATTAACTTTTCACCTTTTTCATAGCCTAAGTATCTTTTTAACATACTTTTTCATCACGGGTCGGTTGCTGTTTGCTGACTAACAAGTAAGTTATAGAGGCTATCAAAGAGATGGGCAAATGCGTGATACTGAACCAAGTCATCACAGGTAGGTACTTACAATTCTTATGTTCACAAATAAGCTTTGTTAAACAACATAATTAAAATTAATTAGGCCTAAAAGGAACGATAAGTATAGAGCTATCACATGCGCACCTTCAACAAATTATGAACGACAAATCGCAAGGTCGCACATTCCCAGTTTGACGCAGTAGTTCGACCGCTATTTAACCATAGAATTGAAACAGGATCGATTCACTTGTTTCGGGCTCTACTCATGTGCCTGCTACTACCATTGAAACATTTGTTCATGGCTTATTTAAGCCAAACTTTCCTTGCGACAGTCATATTTCAGGTGGGGCAAAACGGGACCTTTTGTGTCCTATTTTCCCCCCCATTGCCCATTTTGCCTCAACCATTCTGCCCCATGGACGCCAACAACACAACATGATTCGACACGCAACGAAAACTGGCCCGAAAACTTCACAATTGGTCACAAGGAATATGTATGCATGCTCCATCAAAGCGCAGCAACTCTGAATTCACGATTCATTATACTCGTAGAATAAACAACGTTCGAATCACCACAAAAATAATAACAAAAAGTGGAAAGCGAAAACTCACGTCCTCCTCCAACGACAGCAGCCGACAGGAAGGCCCGGTGCACGTCATTTCCGTCCCCTGTCAGAGAAGCTTTAGCTTAAACCATTGATTTCCGATGGTGCCACCTCTAACAGCCGAAATCGCGGGGTGCCCGCCTTACCAGGGTGCCTCATTTTGCCCCGTTTTCCGCTATTTGTGTCCGTTATTGAGAGCTTATTCTACAGCGCAAGATAACAACGCTGAACTAAGATACGATTGCATTAGCATCACATTGTAATGTATCCGTGTATCATACCTGAAACGATGATCGAGATTGGCAGCCACCTTCGTTCTGGTGCTGCCGGGCCGGCAAGGCCGCAGTTTCCTGCTCGTTTGGGGAAGGGGCCTCAGCCCCCGCCCTCGACCGTTGGGAAGAAAGTGGGCAAACTCCGGGGAGAAACCTGTTTGTTGGCATATTTCAGGGCCTGATGGGTCATTTTTCACTATTCACCCCTCGCTCCCGCCTCAAAACATTTTGCAAAACTGTGCCCCTGCGGGCGGGGTCACGTCAGAGGCGGATTGTACACTACGCTGATGCTGGCCCACGCGCGGCCAGAGTGGGCCACGCGTGGCCGGGAGGATTTCGCGATGCGATCGACTGTATGGCGTCGCATGCGGGCCCGCTCGGTGCGGGTCGCGGCGACACTGTACCGGGCGCCTGTACCTGCTGCGTGAGAAGTGGGATGAGCCCGCGTTTTATCGGCGGCGGACAGGCGGGCACCGCGCACGGAACCGACGGGCTGGCCTCGGCCTCGGTCGGGAAAGGCTGGTCCAGGCCTCGGGACTCCGTTTGGAAAACGGCATGGCGGGCACTGGGCGTCAGCGTGGTCGCGCCAAGTGCCTTGACCGTTGCAGGCCGCGCGGCCGTCACGTGAAAATTGTTGATTGGCGCTTATAAATCCAGGAACTGCAATGTACATTGACTTTTTAGTTTGATCTCTCCATCATCTGTGGTTCAGGGAATTTTACATTAACAACTGCGAGGGAATCGCTAAGCATCAACCACTAAGGTCTTGGAGAATAGCAATTGCATTTGGGGAACAAAAACTGCAATTTAGTGGTGTACCTTATTAACCAATGAGACGGACTCGGCGCATGCGCCAGCGCTTGGTCCCATGGTTATTTGCATGGGGGTTCGGCTCTCCCGTCAGTTGCCTGGCCGGTTGGGCGGGGAGGTGTGGTGTGTTTGTGAGAGGTGCGAGTCTTATTCTGTCTAGTGTTGATTTTCGACATTATAGAGCAGTAGGCTGCTATAACTTTATACGCTGGATATGATTTGCTTTCATTTCAACAGTGCGTACCTTGGTAATCCCGAATATGTCACTTCCTTAGCTTGGTGGCTCTGTAGCACGGTAACTTTTCATTTTTTGGCTGGAACTGTTCTCAAAGCCGAGTGTAAGGGTTAAGATAATGTGGCCCAAAAGGCTGCAGTTGCGTGATGCACACTGCACCTCGGAGCCAAAGTCAACAGCCACCCCTGTCAGTCCAATGTAGCCGAGCCAGCAAGGGAAAGCAAATAACCAAGGTCATTCATTAATGGCTACTGTGTGCTCATTGTGTTTGTCAGTAATCTCAGTAGCCCCTGATAAACTCAATATCTGCAACAACTGCATTGACTCAAAATGATAATTAATGATGCTAAAGCATGCAATGTACATTTGTGCTGTCAAAATCTGTCCTTGGATGGCAATACAAAATAGTTATGTGGCATTACAACATATATATATATATATATATATATATATATATATATATATATGATGTGTATAAGGAAGACATGATAATTGGTAAACAGGTCTTAGCCTGTATTTCTTTTAAAAGGCTACCTCATTGAGCCTACTTATGGACTTGGCACTGCCTTGCCAGCCCTCACTTCTTTTTAAAGGGATTGTGTTGTCCATATATATACTTCAATCTTTCTTGCTACCAGATGTGGGAACATATTTTTCCAATCCCACGACAGCCATATGGTGTTTATCAGTAAGCACTCTTGTCCTGTGCAAAGTAACAGGCAGGTGCAGTCATATCAAGGCACATTACCATATGGGACTGGTTACCACTTCAGGTATTGTCTTCCTAACAATGGGGGGGGGGGGGGGGCAGGACCTGCCGCAGGTGGTCACCTTTATACCATGTGGTATATCCAGGTATAATGTGGATCCCTCTAAGTTAAAAGGAATGTTGCATTTTTTGAGATAGGAAGTAAGCATCAGATGTGATGAAATAAGCTTACTTACAAGTGTTGTTATACTTTTAGGTAGAAAGAATGCTCAAGACAACATGATTTCTCTGTTTAGTAAATGTGCTCCTCAATGTGCCATTATATCTTGTGCAACATAAACTGGGACCCAAATGACAGTTATTTTATCTGGAGATGATGCTTACAAACACAGATGTAAATGAACTTACTTGACCATTGCATTTTTCTTGGCCTTCATCACTGCACAGCTTATTAAATGGCATGATTTGAATGGCATCATGATGTCATGAATGCCATAGTGACCTTCAGATACTCTCCCAAGCTACTATCCCACATCTTTGGTGCCTTGAATTTCAGGAATCATAGGGCTTTAGGTCTTAAAAATGGCATGGCTATGAGATGCATCAAAAGGTCTTAAATATAGCCATTTCAGTTGAAAACCCCATACAAATGTGGAATGTTCCCTTTAAGGCAAAGCACTTCACCCACAGTCCAAATCACTTGATTAAAAAGGCCCATGGTCATACTAGAAATGGCTCCAGTGAGAACTCTGATCAAGCACCATTCAATCAATAGGTTATGAAATCAGATTAATTTCGGAAACACTCATCAGCCTCAGTGTGGGTTGTCCTCAGCCCCCAGCCCTGAGCCATACAGGGAGCTGACAGTGACCTGTGCACACTCCAGGTGGCCGGTGTGTCGCCATGATCGCGGGGGCCTCGCCACTGGCCCAGACGTTGCTGGGCACATTCTTCACATGGGGTGTGACGGCCCTGGGGGCCGGCCTGGTGTTCGTCCTCTCCGGATCGCACGTGAGTCCCCATTGCCAGCTCACATGGCCCACATGCCTCAGCAGGCTAATGTGTGTGGTGGGCTGCTGGAGGGATGAGCCCAGATGTTGGATACATGCACTTCGTGTTTGGTGTACTGCTGTTGATGAATCGATGTTAGATAACAAACAAACCTGAGAAGAAATTCCCCCATCTCTCATAACTCAAATATATACTACCCCATTTTGTGTCAATCTAGACACCAAATGGGAGCCTAAGTAGTGAGCTTGCAGCTTTGCTTGTTCTTTTCCGGGACCAGACCCACACCGTCACTCCTCTCCTGGTCAGAGGTGCTCCAAGATGGTATGGTGAAATGTGTGTGGAGTGGTGAAGTGCCCCTGACGCCTCCGGTGGAGCGCACGTGCGGAGTGTATTGTGAAGCCCTGCTGTGAACCCCACTCCCTCTGTGAAACCCTACACGTGAAGCCCTTCTGCCACTGGCACGTGACCAGCGGAGGGCGGGCGGCGGCGGCCACTCGCCTCGTATGGCGACGAGTGATCCCGGAAAGACTGTAACCAGTACCTCAAGCTGGAGGTCATTAACACCTGGCTTAGCATGTGACATGTAGAACAGTTGTAGCGCCTGTGTGGTATTGGTGTGGTCCGGCCAGACAACAGTTTTACAGACACGTCCTTGTTGCCGGCCTGAACTGACGCGACCTGGCGGCTGGGCATGCTGCTCACTTGTCTGTTGCTGACCAGTGGTGACATGGCAGCAGGATGTGCTGCTGTCTGGTCTGTTGTTGACCTGTCCTGACATCACCTGACATGTTCATGTAAGGTCTGACTGGATGGTGTCATGTGTCAGATGCTGGTCTGGGCTGGATCTGACATGACTGATGACTGGCTGGCCTTTCTGATCTGATCTGGCCTGGCCTGGCCTGGCCTGACCTGACCTGACCTGACCTGACCTGACCTGACCTGACCTGACCTGACCCGACCCGGTCAGGCAGAATCACGTGGCCAACGTCGTTCTGTTGTTGATCTGACCTGACATGGCCAGTCAGCATCACTTGCTTAGTGCCAGGACCTGGCTGACCTGGTGTGATCTGAGTTAACCTGGCCTGACCTCAGGTTGACCTGAACTGACCTGGCCGGACAGCGCCACGTGCTGGACGCCAGTCTGGGGTTCGCCGCGGGCGTCATGACAGCCGCCTCCTTCTGGTCCCTGCTGGATCCGGCCCTTGAGATGGCAGAGACATCTGGTCACTACGGCGCCAACGGGCAGTTCGCCTTCGCGCCGGTGGCGGTCGGCTTTCTCGCTGGGGCGCTGTTCGTCTTCGGAGCCGATGTTGTGATGGCCCGGCTCGGAGTGGACTCGCCCACGATGATGCTCGGTGAGAGGACTGTTGCTGTGTCTGGGGTGGACTCGCCCAAAATAGTGTTCGGTGAGGGGAGGACTGTTACCGCGTCTCAAGATGGACTCGCCCACGATGATGCGCGGTGAGGGGAGGACTGTTGCTTTGTCTTGGTATGGACACGCCCATCACTTCAACGCTAACATGCCTGACAGAGGGATCCGTCGGGTCTGAGGAGGGACTTCTCGAGACTCTTGGGTTAACTTGCTGGGAGATTGATAGATGATATTGATGAGCAGTCAATGTATTTGGCTTTACTGGAAAATGTGTGGCACAGTAGGTGCATCATCTCTCTTCTCCCGAGCACATGTTCAGCCTGTCTTTTTAGTCTTGTTCCATGTGTTACAATGTGTCCGTTATTTTCTTCCATTTCTCATTTGCCCTAGCCCTCTTGTATTTGACACTTTGCCATAGTGTGGGTGGGTGGATGGGTGGGCGTGTGTGTGTGTGTGTGTGTGTGCATGCGTGCACGCATGCATAAGTGTCTTGAAGCTGCGTGGTTTGAGTGAGCCAAGAAGAGTTAAAGACGTGCCAAACGAGCCTGCCGTGAGAAATCTCACATGCTCATTTGGCTGATGTGAGATGTACAGAAATTCTGTCGAGGTTATGGCAACAACTGATGCCTCTCTGGTGAACAATTGATCCCCGTGACGGCACAAGGCCTGTTGCAAGGTGGCCGCATGGCTGACCCCCGACGCCCACTGATGACCCCCTGATAACCTCTGATGCCCGCTGATGAACCCTGATGAATTGCTCATTACCCCCGGTGACCCCCCTGACGCCCGCTGATGACTGATGACCTTCTGGCACCCGGCAGCGGCCGAGGCGGAGAAGCGGGGCCGCCTGCGGCTGGACAGTGAACAGGGCGAGGAGCTGACGCTGGACGGGCTGCGGCGCCGCCCTGGTGAGTACGCGGCTCTCTGGCGGGATCTGAGCAGAGCCGCCGCTGCCGGCGACGGGTGCACCAGGTGCAGGGTGATAAGCTCGTTTTCACGTGCATTGCGCGATATCCCAAACCCCATGGGCCTGTTGTGAACTGGTGTTTGTGATTTCTGCCAACAGATGGCGTCCGGCAGCGCCGTGCCGTGCCCGGCGCCAATGGCGACGACGGTACGCTGGACGGGGACCGGAAGACGGACCGCAGCAGAGCAGAGCAGTGGCGGCGCATCCTCCTGCTCATCATCGCCATCACTGTGCACAACATTCCTGGTACGGCCTGACGCGTGTGTGGCGACTGGTGGTGTGGTTATATCTTCCGCTGTTGGCAAGGCGTACTCCCTATCCTTCAATTCTTTGTCCATCTTTCCATTTTGAAACATTAGTTTGATCGAGGCCATGACCCAATTGTCCACCCAATGTCTGATTTGTGGTGTCATGGTTACAATCACAGCATAGGGCATTTGCTAATTACCCGGTGTCGTCCGCACAATGGTCACATGACAATGAGTGGAATGAAGATGCTGGCGTGTTCACCAGCTCCAGACCGAGTTCGCCTCCATCTGTTGAACAACAGACGCAGCCGTTATGTTGTTCGGCCCCGTCGCCGCGGCCTCCGAGCGTGCCGCGTTCGGCAGTGGCGGCGCCACCGGTCGGCAGCCGTGGTCGGTGCGGAGGCGGGCACCGCCGGGTGGCCCTGTGGTCGGTGTGGAGGCGGGCACCGCCAGGTGGCCCTGTGGTCGGTGCGGAGGCGGGCACCGCCAGGCCGGCTGCCGTGGTCGGTGTGGAGGCGGGCACCGCCAGGTGGCCCTGTGGCTGGTGTGGAGGTGGGCACCGCCAGGTGGCCCTGTGGCTGGTGTGGAGGCGGGCACCGCCAGGTGGCCCTGTGGCTGGTGTGGAGGGGGGCACCGCCAGGTGGCCCCGTGGCTGGTGTGGAGGCGGGCACCGCCAGGTGGCCCTGTGGCTGGTGTGGAGGGGGGCACCGCCAGGTGGCCCCGTGGCTGGTGTGGAGGTGGGCACCGCCAGGTGGCCCTGTGGTCGGTGTAGAGGTGGGCACCGCCAGGTGGCCCTGTGGCTGGTGTGGAGGTGGGCACCGCCAGGTGGCCCTGTGGTCGGTGTAGAGGCGGGCACCGCCAGATGGCCCTGTGGCTGGTGTGAAGGCGGGCACCGCCAGGTGGCCCTGTGGTCGGTGTAGAGGTGGGCACCGCCAGGTGGCCCTGTGGCTGGTGTGGAGGTGGGCACCGCCAGGTGGCCCTGTGGTCGGTGCGGAGGCGGGCACCGCCAGGCCGGCTGCCGTGGCCGGTGTGGAGGCGGGCACCGCCAGGTGGCCCTGTGGCTGGTGTGGAGGCGGGCACCGCCAGGTGGCCCTGTGGCCGGTGTGGAGGCGGGCGCCGCCAGGCCGGCTGCCGTGGCCGGTGTGGAGGCGGGCACCGCCAGGCCGGCTGCCGTGGCCGGTGTGGAGGCGGGCGCCGCCAGGCCGGCTGCCGTGGCCGGTGTGGAGGCGGGCACCGCCAGGCCGGCTGCCGTGGCCGGTGTGGAGGCGGGCGCCGCCAGGCCGGCTGCCGTGGCCGGTGTGGAGGCGGGCACCGCCAGGCCGGCTGCCGTGGCCGGTGTGGAGGCGGCGCCGCCAGGCCGGCTGCCGTGGCCGGTGGAGGCGGGCACCGCCAGGCCGGCTGCCGTGGCCGGTGTGGAGGCGGGCGCCGCCAGGCCGGCTGCCGTGGCCGGTGTGGAGGCGGGCACCGCCAGGTGGCCCTGTGGCCGGTGTGGAGGCGGGCACCGCCAGGCCGGCTGCCGTGGCCGGTGTGGAGGCGGGCACCGCCAGGCCGGCTGCCGTGGCCGGTGTGGAGGCGGGCGCCGCCAGGCCGGCTGCCGTGGCCGGTGTGGAGACGGGCACCGCCAGGTGGCCCTGTGGCCGGTGTGGAGGCGGGCACCGCCAGGCCGGCTGCCGTGGCCGGTGTGGAGGCGGGCACCGCCAGGCCGGCTGCCGTGGCCGGTGTGGAGGCGGGCACCGCCAGGCCGGCTGCCGTGGCCGGTGTGGAGGCGGGCACCGCCAGGTGGCCCTGTGGCTGGTGTGGAGGTGGGCACCGCCAGGTGGCCCTGTGGTCGGTGTGGAGGCGGGCACCGCCAGGTGGCCCTGTGGCCGGTGTGGAGGCGGGCACCGCCAGGCCGGCTGCCGTGGTCGGTGTGGAGGCGGGCACCGCCAGGCCGGCTGCCGTGGCCGGTGTGGAGGCGGGCGCCGCCAGGCCGGCTGCCGTGGCCGGTGTGGAGGCCGCCCCGTGACGGAGGTCCCCCACCACCCCGGCATCCTCCGCTGGCGACTGGCGGGCAGCACGTGCCGTGTGTCCCCGGTGAGGGAGGCCTGCTGGCGGAGCCGCGGCGGGCCCGGCCGTCCAGCCGCCTGACGCCCCCCGTCTCTGCCGACAGAGGGCCTGGCCGTGGGCGTCGGGTTCGCCGCTGTGGGCAAGTCGGCAGGAGCTACCTTCGAGAAGGCCAGGTGGGTGCGCTGTGTGTGGATGTGTCGGGGGAGGTGTGCACGAAGCCACCCTGGGGGTGTACAGAAGCCATGATGGGGATAGAGATACTCGTGGTTAAGGCTTTGCCTTTGTGTGTCTCTTGCCGGCGTCAGTAAATAGTTTTTGGCGTGATGGGGCTCATCCAGTTTAAACTAACTTAACATTTGAAATAGGCTGGTGAGGCTGTTTGTGTGGTGTGGCCAGCACTGTGAGCCACCAGCAGCCCTCCGGCGTTGAACCGCGCGGAGAGCTGCTGCGGCAGTGATGTGAAGTAGGACAAGGACGTCTCCTTGGAAGCGAGACTCGGCCTCGTCAGCGTGGCCGGTTGTTGAGCACCGCCAGGCACGGCGGGGGCCATCGGTGGATAGTGAGAGGCGAGAGTCGTCCGGAGTCTCCCCCGGTAACTGGGAGCCGACAGGCTTCCTTCCCCCAGTGTGTTTTGTTGGGTGTTGGGATGCTGGCTGGCATTGACGGGATGCTGACCCTTCGCCGCTGACCTCGGGTGACGTTTACTCGGCATCGGCTGACAATTTGCATACAAAGACGGGGCTATTGCGTGTCATTTGTCGTGGAGATGAAACGGTGAGTTAAAAACAACGGAAGGCGATACGGATCAAAGCATACAGACATCTGCATACGCTTACAGTATCAAACAGGCCTACCGCGCAAAGGATTCCATGACAGGGTGCCTGACACTTGTCTGATCCAGTAGTCTCACATGCACCAGCAGCTGGCTCAGAAGGTAGGCCGCTCGGCGTGCGAGGGACCGCTGTCCTGCCGCCCTGCACACCGCACCTCCGGGGGGAGGGCAGGCCCTGATCCATGTGGATAGAACGCTCACAGGTTGGCGGGTCGTGTTTCACTGCGGGTCATTTACGCGTTAGCGGGTTCGGTGATCGGTCTAGATTGGACCCCGCGGTGGGACAGTGTGGGTGCCATTGGTATCGGCGACTGATATTTCTGATATATCCTATTATCAGTGGAACATTTCGCCCAGAAAGCGGACTAATTTTCAGAGTATGGCTTGGACGTTAGTCGTCAACGAACCTTCCAGGAAGTGTCGTGCTTCGAGGCGCTCATACAAGTTCTACGACTTAACGTGAAGCGCGCTCTTGATTGAAGCCGTATCAGACAGTGCAGGTGAGGCGATGCGGCACAGCTGCCCACGCCCGGTATGTTTGGCCTGTCGGGCTCAGCCCAACGACGACACGTACCAACCAGGCCACCGGTGATGCGGGCCACTCTTCGGGCTTTTCCCTGAGGCGCTCCCGCGACATAGCACTGAATGTACGGTACCCAACGTAGCTGTATGAAGAAGTTACAGTTATTTTTTTCTGCCACGCGCGTGGGCTACGCCTACGGCAGACCGAGAGGGATCGGGTCCAGTAAGGGGGCCATGTCCGGGATACGACGATTCAATGTTTCCGAGACAGCTGGCCGGCGGCGGCGGCTGGGACCCGCACGGGCTCCGGCGGCGGTGGAGCGCGAGTTCACCGGGCTGTCCCACACTGGGCAGTGACAGCCTGGCGCTGAGGCTCTCGCCCGGTCAGTTGTCACCGCCCAATCCCAGACGGGCCGGTCAGCGGGCACCGCCCAATCCCAGACGGGCCGGTCAGCGGGCACCACCCAATCCCAGACGGGCCGGTCAGTGGTCACCGCCCAATCCCAGACGGGCCGGTCAGCGAGCACCGCCCAATCCCAGACGGGCCGGTCATTGGTCACCGTCCCATCCCGGACGGGCTGGTCAGTGGTCACCGCCCCATCCCGGACGGGCCGGTCAGTGGTCACCGCCCCATCCCGGACGGGCCGGTCATGTCCCAACCCCCGCCCCTCCCCGGAACGGGCCGGTCTGGTCCCCACCTCCCCATCCCGGACGGGCCGGTCAGTGGTCACCGCCCCATCCCAGACGGGCCGGTCAGTGGTCACCGCCCCATCCCGGACGGGCCGGTCAGTGGTCACCGCCCCATCCCGGACGGGCCGGTCAGTGGTCACCGCCCCTCCCAGACGGGCCGGTCAGTGGTCACCGTCCAATCTCAGACGGGCCGGTCAGTGGTCACCGTCCAATCTCAGACGTGCCGGTACGGGCCGGTCAGTGGTCACCGTCCAGTCCCGGACGGGCTGGTCAGTGGTCACCGTCCAGTCCCAGATAGGCCGGTCGGTGGTCACTGTCCAATCCCAGACGGGCCGGTACGGGCCGGTCAGTGGTCATCGTCCAGTCCCGGACGGGCCGGTCAATGGTCACCGCCCAATGCAGACGGGCCGGTCGGTGGTCACCGTCCGGTCCCAGACAGGCCGGTCAGCGGTCACTGCCCATTCCAGGCGGGCCGGTCAGTGGTCACCGTCCGGTCCCAGACGGGCCGGAGGCTGAGTGGGCTGCGGACTCCCGGCTGAGCTTACGCTCCGAGCCCGGGATCCGGGGAGCAGCCGCCTGTGCTGAGGCTGCTCACATGGTGGTCAGTTGGCAGGCAGCCAGGGAGGGTCGTCCCGACACCGAGCCGCCCGAGCGCACAGTGGTGCGGCGCAGTGAGGCCCGTCCGCGACCCTCGCTGACGCCAAGGCGGGAGAAGCCCGACTATCTGCTGTGCGGTGGTGGCGTCGTCGGTATGGCTGACTCGAGGCAGAAGTAGGGGGGGGGGGGGGGGGGGACGTCGTACACGTAATCAGAGCATATTGCCACCCAGCGACCGTGCAAAGCGCTTGGAACCCATTTCCTGAAAGTATCCTGTAGGCGTAGTGAGGCGTCCAGTCTACAAATAATGCAAGGGCTTGTGCAGGTGGCGGTGGCATCGCGGTGGCCGTGGCTCCATTTTCCTCCGCGAGATGTCAGCAGCGGCCGGCCACGGTGTCACTGAACCAGACGCGCCTGAATAAACGTGGTCGCATTTATAGCAGCGGCGGCGGCCGCCCCGCCAACCAAGGCCGGCCCGGCGCGCACGGCCAGGGGCGGAGTCAGCGGCCGGGATCGGGGGAGCGGCGGCTGAAGCGCCGCTGCCCGGACCGATGTCGTCCACGGCCCCGAGGGCTGGCGTCTCCAAACCGTCCGCAGCGCCTCTGAAAGTTGAGCGCGCGGAGGCATGGGCACTGGCGCTTCCCCTTCGTATCGTTCGATTTTGGAGGTAACGTGTAAGCTGTTTCGATTGGGTGATCTGTCACCGCGTCCATTGCGTTCCTAGATTGCCACTGAGCCTCCTGGAACGCCGGTTGGCCTCGACGCCAGCGTAACAAGCCGCCCCAGCCGTCCGCCGAGCACCGGCGGCGCGGCTGTGACCGGTGGCCGGTGTTATCGCGCGCGCGCGTGCGCCCACGCGAGCGGAGCGGCTGGCAGCGGCCACTGATTGACCGGCAGCCGGTCGGACCCGGCGGCGGGCGGGGGTCTGACTCGTGATCAGTCTCGAGGGTGGGCGGCCCCCGTCCGTCCAATGCTATCAGGACATGGCGACAACGCAGAAGCCGGGCGCAGCCGAGCTGAGGCCCGCCGCCTGGCCATAACGGTCGCGTCCGAGTCGCTCGTCTTACATGGCTCGGTATGACTCACTCGTCCTGCATGACTCAATGTGAGCCGCACGTCCTGCATGACTCAATATGGCTCGATGGTTGCCCAGAGTCAACATGAGTCAGTCTCGGTGCATTGCTCCACGTGTTCAGTGCCGTCATTGACTCCTCGTGTGTGTCAGCCCTGGGCCTGAGTCAGTCGGAGCTATGCTGGGTGCTCCGTAGCCCGCCGTTTCATGACTTAGTTGAGTCTGCTGCCAACTGAGTTTGAGCTCTGATTTTAGGACAAAGATGTAGCGTGGGTTTATTGATTATAGTGTTCTATATTGTAATGACAGCGTTGATAGTGGGCATCCCGCTTTTTACTTCCCGTGGACCTGTGCCGACGGGATTCTTTGGGCTGGCGACGAGCGAAAGGAGTCAAATGAGAGTCAAGCGACGTTACCGCCGTCCATGACCCGTCGCCCCGGAGAGGGGGGGGGGGGGGGGGGGGCAGCGCTGCCGTTCGGCCCAGGCGGCGTGTGTGTCGGGCCGGCGGCGCGCCCGGCCGCCTGTCCCTGCTCCGGCGAGGCGAGGAGGCGCCCTGTGTCAGCCTCGACGCAGCGGGAACAGCGGCCTGTGTCGGCCTCGACGCAGCGGGAACAGCGGCCTGTGTCGGCCTTGACGCGGCGGGAACGGCGGCCTGTGTCGGCCCCGATGCAGCGGGAACGGCAGCCTGTGTCGGCCCCGATGCAGCGGGAACGGCAGCCTGTGTCGGCCCCGACACAGCGGGAACGGCGACCTGTGTCGGCCCCAGCGCAGCGAGAACGGCGGCCTGTGTCGGCCCCGACGTGGCGGGAACGGCAGCCTGTGTCGGCCACCGACGCAGCGGGAACGGCGGCCACCGGTGGGCGGCCACCGATGGCGGCCACCGATGGGCGGCATTGGCCATCGGTCGGGCCAGCGCATGCGCGGAGTTCTCCTGCTGAATGGTTTGCATTCATTGACAACAAAAAGAAACGAAAAAGAACTAAATCCGTTGCCGAGGGGTCCGTCAAGTCTCTGAACTGGATTCATGTCGGTTCGGTCTAATTCATTGATGTCGGCGGTTGGCGCCTTGGTTTGTTATACGGACGTTGTGACACGGACCGTTCCCTCAGCGGTCTGACCCCGATGTGGTTTCACTCGCAGGGTCACAGCGCCTCCGCCGGGTGGCCCTCGTTGCGCTGGGCTCCCGCGTCTGCGTCTGCGGCGGCCGCTTCGCTGTGTGCGCGCCTGGCTGTGTCCCCCTCCCCCCTTTATGGCCTGTTGGCTACCGCCGGCCATCACCCTGCCGGTGGCTGAGAGATCAGGGGGGGGGGGGGGGCGAGTGAAGGCAGCTACCCGCCATTGTGAGCTGCTGGAAGCAAACGAGTCAGATATTTACGTCCGCTGAAGCCAACCGCTGTGGCGCCTCTTTCGACCTCCTCCGGCCTCATGGAGGTCACATGGGAGTCGACGAAGCTGGGCAGTGCAGCTACCGGACGTCACGAGGTCACGTGGTTTGCCGGCTCCGTCGTCTGTCCAGAGCGGCGTCGGCTTCCGCTGCCGTGCTGGAAGGCTGCTCCGCCGCTGTGGTGCTGAATGGCTGCTCCGCCGCTGCCGTGCTGGATGGCTGCTCCGCCGCTGCCGTGCTGGAGAGCTGCTCCGCTGCTGCCGTGCTGGAGAGCTGCTCCGCCGCTGCCGTGCTGGAGGGCTGCTCCGCCGCCGCCGTGCTGGAGAGCTGCTCCGCCGCTGCCGTGCTGGAGAGCTGCTCCGCCGCTGCCGTGCTGGAGAGCTGCTCCGCACATTCTCCGTGGCCACTGGGCGGAAGCCACCCTCCTCCGGCTCACTTACCCTGTTTACATGGGCAGCTGTGATTCGAATTAAGCCGGGACCCGTCCTCGATCCGAACTATCCGGCCCATGTATACACTCACGCGCCGTTCCGCTGATTCGAATCGTGCGCCGGAGGAAATCCCTTCCCGTGAGAGGATCATCCGCTCAGGAAGGGATTTCGTCCGAATTATCGGCCGTCAGCTGTCTAAACAAAAAAAAAGAAAAATGCCTGGCGCACGCAGTTCCGTTCATAGCCATTTCAGCTTTGTGCGGTGTTACCGCTTTTCCACGGGTTTTTAGCTATTGCTCGAGACGGTTCAAGTCCAAGATGGTAAGGGAAAAGAGAAGGAAGGTGAAGTTGACATCATGCTGCTAAAACTACTCTTATTATTGAGGGCCTTGAGTGGCTAGCAGCACAGAAATGCTCACGTAATTTAGCCTTGCTAGGCGCTTGATCTATGCAGACAGCAGGCGTCGACGGTGTTTGGTGCTATCTTTCCGCCTAAAGGTTAGATTAGTTTACATCTGGGGCAGGCTCCATGCTTCCAAAAGCCAGATGGAGGTAATATGGTTATTTTATATAGCTTTGACTTGTTCTCATTTTAATTTTTGGATTGCTCAAAGTTCTTGCAGAGAATGCATCCAAGTTTCATTCATTAAGTTAATACCTTAAGTCCCCAGGAGTGTTTTTGCAGATGTTCCTTAAATTAGGATGCTGGTTGCTTGTCAGTTTAATTTGTGTGAGAAAGGTAGCTTAAAAATTGCTGCATGATATGACGGATGAACAAATATAGATCATTGCACTCAGCTCGGAATGTAAACTTTTTTAATGGTAGGACTGAAATCGCCCAATGATGGGGTCAAAACAGCAAGAAAGCAAATGTGAACACTGGATGAAAATAGTTGTCATCATTACTCTGCTAAATCCAAGTTTGTGTGTTCCATGTGCAGGAAAACAGTGCATAACTAACACCTAACACGATGGCACATGCTGCATGGAGAACACGTCTGTGTTGCATATCATCACCTGTTTTTGTGCTGGTGATTAAATATGTCACCTTGGTGCTTTTTTTGTGATGGGTGTCTGCAGCCATGAGGTAGGTAATTCAACTGTTCAACAATTCTTGCAGGGAGTACCAATAGTTTCTTTCATTAGGTGAATACATAAATGCCCCAGGATTGATTTTGCAGACATTCCTCCTGTGACTTGAACATTTGGTTGACCACCTGTTGGCAGGAGGGAAGTGCTGGATATTGGTGACTGGCTTGTCAAGGAAATATGAAGTTACGTCACACTGGTAGACCAACTGGCAAGGAAGCGGGGGCTGGAATATTTGTTTTTGATGCAATTAGGCTGTTTGTTGCTTGTCAGTTTAATGTGTGTGAGATAGGTAACTCAATAATTCCTGCATGATGCAAAGGATCAACAAATATAGGCAATAGATCATTGCAGTCAGTGCAGAATGTGAACTATTTTTAATGATGGGACCAAAATTGCCCAGTGATGGTTCCAAAATGTCAGGAAAGCAAATGTGAGCACTGGATGAAATTAGCTGTCATCAGTACTCTGTCAAATCCAGGTTTGTGCATTTCATGTGGAAGAAAGTGCATAAACTAAGTAAACCTAACCTAATGCCACATGATGTGCAGAGAACATCTGCAGTGCACATCATTACCTGTTTTTGTACTGGTGAGTAAATATGTTGCCTTGGTGCTTTTTTGTGACACATATCTTTGCAAACCATGAGGTGGATAATTGAGCTGTTGCTGTAATTAATCATTTGTTATGAATTTTGAGCCCAGATTGCTTTTGTCATGACAGCTCTGGGGCTGGTTCACGTTATGATCGTTGGACTGTGCAAACACGGCTGTTTGTGCCACCTAGCCATCAGTCCATATCAGCCAATGCTGTTGACTGCAAGGATATCAAAGCAGTATTTCAACCTTAGTATGTCAAGAAAGCAAATAGCTGCATTCTGACTTGCCAGTCCATGCCAAGTCTAAATGGCAATGCTGCCCTCAGGTACTGATGATGCATTGGATGGGGAAAGACAACATAGTTACACAATTTTTGCCACTAACTATGTAGCATTCATGAGTCATTTCTGTAGCTTAGCTCACTGTTGCAGGCTGCTCATAAATGCATTGGTGCGGGATTAGGTAATGTGTTTCTTGGGCTGCGCAAAGTAGATGACATGATGCTGGGTGGCATACTGATGAGTGTGGTAAGTTTGTGAGTGTCATTGGCCAATACAGGAAAATACTGATTTCGTGCTAGCTAGTTTCCTGCTAGTAAAAATTTGCATATAACACTGCTTATGTGACAGGTTTGGCAGTGCTGACTGCGCAACTCCTGTGTTTCAAGTGCTATGGCTTGTGCTGTGGCTACAAAGCCTATGAGTCCCGCACAGATCATTTTTCCAACGAAGTCCATCTTCCTCCTCGCCCTCAAAGCTGTCTCGCGCCCACCATGGCTCGTGACATTCGCCATCCATACGCAGAGTACCGGCTTTTTTCTTCTTGTTTTGTTCAGTTCGCCTCAAAAGCGCAGTTTTCGCCCATAACCCGTTCCTTGGTTCGAACTAAGCGGGATCGAACTATCGACCGTTAATCCGACGTAAAGCCGGTTTCGCCCATGTAAACGCCCCTCGCCGAGAGGGTTAACGTCGCATGATCCGTTCCGATCTTAATTCGAATTATTCTCGGCTGCCCATGTAAACCGGGTAACTGGCGAGGCTAGCAGCCGTTGGTCCTCCCGAAGCAGCCCGTGCCCCTCCGGTGGCAACTCCTGCCCCTCTCCTGGAGACGGCTCCGAACCCTCCTCCTGAGTCGGCTCCTGGCCGTCCTCTCGAGACGGCTCCCGAACTTCCTCCGGAGGCGTCACCAGACCGTGCCGTGTCGGCAGCGTTGCCTTGCTCAGGCTGGGGCAGGCTCGGCCCGCACGGCCCGCCCTTCCGACTCGTGGTCACCTGAACACGGGCCATAAACGGTGTGACGAACACAAAACAAGGAGGGGGGGGGGGGGGGGAAGGGGACCGAGCGATCATGACGCCTTAGTTCAGACCGTCGCTGTCCTCGAGGCGAGAAGACTGTGTGAGGCCGGATGGGTGCTCCCCACTTCATCTTCGCCCCCCGTGCACGGTGCGTGCGAGTCCAGTCGGACTTTCGACCACGCCGCTCGTGCAGAGTTCACAGAGACAGCAGCGGGGGGACCGCGCCGCCCCACTCCGCTCCGTGTGTGTGTATGTGGTGGGGCGGGGGCTGCAAAGGGCCGGCCTGGTACGTGGCGCCGCGTTCGTCATCTGGGGCGAATAGAAATAAATAGTGGAGGCGCGCACTGCGGCGGCCGCCTCCCTATTGCCTGTGCCCTCCTCCGTACTCCGCGTGGTCGCGCGTTGGACGGCTAACCTAGCGGCAAAGATGCAGTGGGAAAGCACGCACACCGCGTGTTTTACATGAATATTTGAACCATCGTGCAGGCGTCATTAAAGCGTGCAACACTAAACTGGGGCGAAGTCAAATGAATACACCGTACCAGGTGATGCTCGGCACCGCAGAGGGCCCGTTGCCGTGGCAGCGGGGGTAGGGCTGGTCGCCCGCGGAAGCAGCGCGCCCCTCCGCTGACGCACGCCGAGTCTCTCGGCCCGACCGAAGGCCGGGCGCGAGCGGAGCCTCCCACGCGCCCCCGGGCTCCGTGGCGTCCGGGTATCGCCGGTGAGTTCAGTCTAGAAGGGAGCAGCGCGCGGCGAATGCCCTTCGGGTCGCCCGGCGCAATCCGCGCCAAAGTGATGCGAAACAACCGCGAGGTCATGCGGTGTCAAGAACAACGGTGAGCGCACGTGCCCCGTGTCTGGCGTCCGGACGCGGGCCTCGGGTGTGTCACGGTGACGCGGAGCTGGAGAGGCCCTCTGGCACCTGCTTCGGGTGCGCCACGGTGACGCAGAGCTGGAGAGGCCCTCTGGCGCCGGCCGTCTACTCATGAAATCCCAGACTGCTAAGCTCGGCGTTGTGCGCCAGCCTGCCACATCCCTGTCGGGAGGCGTGTGTCGCCATGGGCGCTACTCTCGGCGGCGCTGGCGGGCTCGGAGGCGGCCGTGGCTGGCGCCGGCCGTACGTCTCGGCTGTGCTCTCTCCGCCCGCAGCCGCTGCATCATACACCCACCTACACACACCCCTGACCAACAAACACAGCCGTGCGGTGGCCCTGCGCCCGCGCGGCTGCAGACCTCCGGTGCCGCAGGCCGCCACACCCGCCCGTTATTTTTTGGAGCTGACCCGACCTGACCTGACCTCTGCCTGGCCCGAACAGGAACTTGGCGCTGGGCATCGGGATCCAGAACTTCCCGGAGGGCCTGGCGGTGAGCCTCCCTCTGCGCGGCGCCGGCCTGTCCAGCAGCGAGGCGTTCTGGTGAGTCCAGCCCCCTGTCGCGGACCCGCCGCTGCGGAAGGAGAGGCTGTCACGGCAGAGGTCAAACTGTGACACGTGACGCGCCCCGCCGCGCGCGCCAGCGACCGTTATGGCGGAGCGCGTTGGCGTGTGGATCGGTGACATTGCCCTTTGTCTGCGTGGAATAGTGCTGTACAGTGCCGTATGACTGAGTTGTGACAGCGTTCTCCCGCGACTGTGCTCCCCCAGCGAACATCAGTCCTGCCTCCGTTCCGGTCCCGTTTACAGCCGGTGTCCGTCCCGGTCCAGTTTACAGCCGGTGTCCGTCCCGTTTACAGCCGGTGTCCGTCGCGGTCCCGTTTACAGCTGGTGTCCGTCCCGTTTACAGCCGGTGTCCGTCGCAGTCCCGTTTACAGCCGGTGTCCGTCGCGGTCCCGTTTACAGCCGGTGTCCGTCTCGGTCCCGCTTACGGCCGGTGTCCGTCTCGGTCCCGTTTACAGCCGGTGTCCGTCCCGGTCCCGTTTACAGCTGGTGTCCGTCCTGTTTACAGCCGGTGTCCGTCTCGGTCCCGTTTACAGCCGGTGTCCGTCCCGGTCCCGTTTACAGCTGGTGTCCGTCCTGTTTACAGCCGGTGTCCGTCTCGGTCCCGTTTACAGCCGGTGTCCGTCCCGGTCCCGTTTACAGCTGGTGTCCGTCCTGTTTACAGCCGGTGTCCGTCGCGGTCCAGTTTACAGCCGGTGTCTGTCGTGGTCCCGTTTGCAGCCGGTGTCCGTCCCGGTCCCGTTTACAGCCGGCGTCCGTCCCGGTCCAGTTTACAGTCGGTGCCCGTCTCGGTCCCGTTTACAGCCGGTGTCCGTCGCGCAGTGAGCGGCTGGACCAGGGCTGTGCGGCGGCGACAGCTGACGTTTCCGCCGGCGGTCGCTGTGGACTGTGAGGATGACGCCAGGCTGCCCTGTCCGGACACTTGCCCTGTGGCGGCTCGCGTCTGGACGCGGCTGGGGTCCCCCCATGTCAAGTCCGCCTGCCGTCGCCTGGATGACCTCAGCTGCCGGGGCTGCAGGCGGCCTGAGCCAGCTGTGTCGAGGGCGCCTGCCGCCTGCTGCTCTCTGGGGGGCGAGAAAATGAACGCGGCCGGGACTGAGACGAGTGGTAACCCGGGCCAATGTCAGCTCGGGTTACAGGTCAGGTGCGGGCTTGACGTGGCCTGACCTCCCAGAACAGTCAGGCGGGATTTTGTGACTCTGAAGTCTTCAGATCTGATCCAAGGCCTACTCGACCTGACCTGAGCTAATATTACGCTGATCTGACCTAACCAAACCTAGCCTAACCTAACCAGACCTGACCTAACCAAACCTGACCTAACCAAACCATGAAAACTGACCTAATCAAACCAGGCCTGACCTAACCAGGCCTGATCTGACGGCTGTCGGCTGGCGGCTAGTGGCTGACGGCTGACAGCTGACGGCTGACGGCTGGTGGCTGTCGGCTGACGGCTGGTGGCTGACGGCTGGCGGCTGGCGGCTGGCGTCTGACGGCTGGCGGCTGGTTACTGACGGCTGACGTCTGACGGCTGGCGGCTGACGTCTGGCGGTTGGCGGCTGGCGGCTGACGCTGGCGGCTGGCGTCTGACTGCTGACGGCTGACGGCTGACGACTGACGGCTGTGCTCCGGTGCTCGGCAGGTACGGTCAGCTGAGTGGCATGGTGGAGCCGGTGGCCGGCCTTCTCGGCGCGCTGGCCGTCTCGCTGGCCCAGCCTCTGCTGCCCTACGCGCTCAGCTTCGCCGCCGGCGCCATGATCTATGTGGTGTTCGACGACATCGTGCCGGAGGCGCAGACCAGGTGAGCTGCGTGGGGCTGTCCTCAGCATCGCGCTGGCCCCATCTGCCAGCGGGGTGTAGCGGTGGGCGGAGAAGGGTCCACTGCTCTGCACTGGGCCGGGTAAATGACGCCCTCTTGCTGTCTTGTCGCTGTGTTACGTGTGTGTTCTCTTGAAGCTCGGAGTTCGCTGGCACTGAGTGATTTGTCAGATACTGTGCCGTCCTCATGTTCCATACCCGAAGCTGACGTGGCGCCACGGCGTCGGCAACAGGTGCTGGTCCGACACGGGGGTGTGTGGCATGGGGGCTGACCAGGCACGAGGAGGGGGAGGGCACGGGGGCTGACCAGGCACGGGGAGGGGAGGACACGGGGAGGGGGAGGGCACGGGGCTCGACCAGGCACGGGGATGGGAGGGTACGGGGACTGACCAGGCACGAGGAGGGGAGGGCACGGGGGCTGACCAGGCACGGGGAGGGGAGGGCACGGGGGCTGACCAGGCACGAGGGGGGGGGAGGGCACGGGGGCTGACCAGGCACGGGGAGGGGAGGGCACGGGGCTGACCAGGCACGGGGAGGGGAGGGCACGGGGCTCGACCAGGCACGGGGATGGGAGGGCACGGGGACTGACCAGGCACGAGGAGGGGAGGGCACGGGGCTCGACCAGGCACGGGGATGGGAGGGCACGGGGCTCGACCAGGCACGAGGAGGGGGAGGGCACGGGGGCTGACCAGGCACGAGGAGGGGGAGGGCACGGGGCTGACCAGGCACGGGGATGGGAGGGCACGGGGCTCGACCAGACACGGAAGTGGAGGCGGGGCCTGACCAGGCGCGCGCCAGCCACGCCAGATCAGTCCGGACCGGTCGGAAGTTAGTGACCGACCGCGTGCTGTGTGGGTGGGTTGGTGGGGAAGACGTCGTTTGGCATTCGACCTGGGTCGCCTGGATTTCCCGGCTCACCGGTCTGGCAGTCGTTCGGTGATGTGGCTCAGATTTTCCACACACCCTACGGGACTGTGATAGCTGACCTCTCCAGCCGCGACTCAACACCATGGTCGCTCACCCCCGGTGTAAATGGTCGGGCGTCAGCATGGCCGCGCCGCCGGCTGCCGCCGTGGTGCCGCGGCTCCCAGCTGGCGGCCGGGCCGGGCTGACATTCTCGCCGTCCCACAACGCGGGCGCCGGCCGGCCCGCGCTTGACCCGACTGCTTCCGGCCTCGCTTCCGGTGCGTGGCTCGGCGGCCGCATCCGCCGACTTCCGGCGCGGTGGCGGCTTCCGGTGGCGCGACTGGGGCCGGGGCCGGGGCCGGGGCCGGGACCGGGGTCGGGGCCGGGACCGGGGCCGGGGCCGGGACCGGGGCCGGGGCCGGGGCCGGGGCCGGGGCCGGGACCGGGACCGGGACCGGGACCGGGACCGGGACCGGGACCGGGACCGGGGCCGGGACCGGGGTCGGGGCCGGGACCGGGCCGCTGTCGATCGGCCGCCGGCGCCGCAGCCGGGCAGATAGACCGGTCGACGCGGCGGCAGGGGCTGTCGACCGCCCGACCGCGGCCTCTTGGGAATCTCACCGGTCTGCACACGGCGTTCGGCGTGGCTGGGGCAGCACTGCCCGTGTCTTTGGAGAATCCGGCACTGCGTTTTATGTCCCGTCTCTCACCCCCGCCCTCGCTCCTGGACTACTCAAACTGGAGATCAGTTGTATTTCGCAGAACAAACAAAAGTTTAGAAATATGTTTATCTCCAAATAGGCAGTCCCCCCAAGTTAATTTTAGGAGGCCACACAGTTAGCCTGTGAACTCATTCGCTGTGAGCAGGTTCGGAGTCACCGAGCTGGGGTAAGCCGCCTAGCTTACCAGGCCTACTCTCCTATGACAACAATCTAAGTTGGCATGTGCAAGTGTCCAACACAGGAGTACTTCTTTCTGCTGACTGACTGCTTGTATGGTGCACGTGGAGACAGCGGCATACAGAACTCAGCGCAGTCCCTGTGCGGTTGTGGAGCCAGGTGAGACAACACAGGCAGACCTTTATCGCCCCCCCCCCCCCCCTACGCCCCCGTACACACATACACACACACTCGGCCCAGCTGAGAAAGGAAGACTGCATCAGTTTCGTTTGATGTTGTTTTTGTTGTTGCGTTACCCGGCCGGGTTTACCGTGGCTGGAGGTGTTGTTTCAGTATGGGAGCGTCGTGCCGCTGTCATGATCCGGCTGTCGTCTGGCGTGCCGTGTCCCGGGGTCCCTGCGCTCGTCGTGCCGTTGTCATGATCCGGCTGTCGGCTGGCGTGCCGTGTCCCGGGGTCCCTGCGCTCGTGCCGTTGTCATGATCCGGCTGTCGGCTGGCGTGCCGTGTCCCGGGGTCCCTGCGCTCGTGCCGTTGTCATGATCCGGCTGTCGTCTGGCGTGCCGTGTCCCGGGGTCCCCTGCGCTCGTGCCGTTGTCATGATCCGGCTGTCGTCTGGCGTGCCGTGTCCCGGGGTCCCTGCGCTCGTCGTGCCGTTGTCATGATCCGGCTGTCGGCTGGCGTGCCGTGTCCCGGGGTCCCTGCGCTCGTGCCGTTGTCATGATCCGGCTGTCGTCTGGCGTGCCGTGTCCCGGGGTCCCTGCGCTCGTCGTGCCGTTGTCATGATCCGGCTGGCGTCTGGCGTGCCGTGTCCCGGGGTCCCTGCGCTCGTGCCGTTGTCATGATCCGGCTGTCGGCTGGCGTGCCGTGTCCCGGGGTCCCTGCGCTCGTCGTGCCGTTGTCATGATCCGGCTGTCGGCTGGCGTGCCGTGTCCCGGGGTCCCTGCGCTCGTGCCGTTGTCATGATCCGGCTGTCGTCTGGCGTGCCGTGTCCCGGGGTCCCTGTGCTCGTGCCGTTGTCATGATCCGGCTGTCGGCTGGCGTGCCGTGTCCCGGGGTCCCTGCGCTCGTCGTGCCGTTGTCATGATCCGGCTGTCGTCTGGCGTGGCCGTGTCCCGGGGTCCCTGCGCTCGTCGTGCCGTTGTCATGATCCGGCTGTCGGCTGGCGTGCCGTGTCCCGGGGTCCCTGCGCTCAGGGGATGGGCCGCCGCCGCCCGCGCGGCCGGCAGTTAGGGTCGCGCCGTCCACAGCTTTCTGGGCGGCCGTTACCAGTCCGACCCTGTGGACAGCGGCGCGGCTGGCTGTCTGGCAGGAGGGTCAGGTGGGCGGGCCCCGCGGCCGGGGCTGGCTGGACGGCCGGGCAGCTCCTGCGCGCGGCCGACAGGGCGGCTTCAGCGGCCCGCTGTGTGAGGCCGCTGCTGACAGCGAACGGCATCGACGAGCTCGTGCTGCGTCGGCCCGACACGGGAGCCGCCGCTGACCGGGTCGGCCGGCGGGAGCGGGGCCAGCCGGGCTCCCTCGACCGTGACTCACCGCCGCCTCTGCCGACAGGGGCAACGGCAAGCTGGCCTCCTGGTCGGCCATCGTCGGCTTCCTCATCATGATGTGCCTGGACGTGGGCCTCGGCTGACCGGCTCCCCGTCGGAGTTCTATCACACGTGAAGGCCTAGTCGGAACTGAATAGCGTGAAAACTCTGGAGCCGGCTGTTTATCTGCAGCTGAAGGCGAACCTCCCAGCCGGAGTTGGGAGCGCCCCAACCGTGATCAATGTTGACCGTAGCAGACTATTATCCCCGGGCCGCCCCGGGTCCGGCTGCCTGTGACCTTGCGCCGGGTGCGAGGTCGCCGGCGCCCGGCTTGTTGAGCTTCTGTCTGACCTGGCCTGTATCGAGGGCTCGCCGGATCGTGAGAGCTACCCCTTCGTTCAGCTGGGGGCAGACGAATCCGTTATTGTTGTTTTTGTCGGCCTCGCTGTTTTGTTTATTGCGAAATACTGAAGTAAACGGTGCTGTTCAATGTATGATTTGGGCGGTCCGATAATAGCCATAACGACGTGCGTCCAACCATTCCTGATATGTTGAAGCCTGTTAAAGCCTGTTTGGTCGTCATGTTTACGGAGCGGCGCTCGCGCGCGTGTGTGTTGGTGGCGTGCTGAGTCGGCCGAGAGCGGTGTGTTTGTGTGTTCGGCGTGGGCGCCGCCGCGTCACGCCGCCGTGTCCTGGCTGGTGGCTCGTGACCGCGCCTCCTCCGCGCCGGCACTGTTGGGCTGCCCTGCACCTGGAGCAGTGCTCTCTCCCCTGCCGCCGCCGACGTCCCAGTGTTGGCTGGCTCCTGCCGCGACCGACGAGGCTGGCCGCTGCCCTCGCCTCCCCGTACCGCTGCCCCCGCCTCCCCGTACCGCTGCCCTCGCCTCCCCGTACCGCTGCCCTTACCCCTCCCCGTGCCGCTGCCCTCGCCTCCCCGTACCGCTGCCCTCGCCTCCCTGTACCGCTGCCCTCGCCTTCCCGTACCGCTGCCCTGGCCTTCCCGTGTCGCTGCCCTCGCCTCCCCGTACCGCTGCCCTCGCCTCCCTGTACCGCTGCCCTCGCCTTCCCGTACCGCTGCCCTGGCCTTCCCGTGTCGCTGCCCTCGCCTTCCCGTACCGCTGCCCTGGCCTTCCCGTGTCGCTGCCCTCGCCTTCCCGTACCGCTGCCCTGGCCTTCCCGTGTCGCTGCCCTCGCCTTCCCGTACCGCTGCCCTGGCCTTCCCGTGTCGCTGCCCTTGCCCCTCCCCGTACCGCTGCCCTCTCTCCTGACCGCGAGGTAGCCGCTGGCCAGTCGCGGCCTGATGTGGGCACGCTCCAGCCGACACGACGACGAACGCCGCGCGCTGGGGAGCGAGCCTGTTATGTTTCCGTTTTTCATTGTCCGAGCCGTTGGTGGGTCCTTCCGGAAGGCTGATGCGGCCGCGGCGCGGGTGAGGGCGGCGCTAATGTGGGGTTGTCATGGGTGTGGGGTGACAGGGGTGGGTGGTGTGCTGGTGTCACAGAGTCGCCTTGTCACACTCCTCGTGAAGTGCCCTTACCGCTGTGGTTGAGTCAACAGCTGGTTTGCCGTGCCTTTTAACGGCCATGCCGCCGAGAAGAGCAGCTGAGCTCGGCAGATCTCTGTGGCGGCGCGGTGTTTCGCCGTCATCGGCAGGGCCTCGGCTGGCCGAGCGCGGCCCGGCGCGTGGCTGCAGTGCCGTCCGATCGGGTCCAATGTGAATTCCAGCCTTGCCTTATCACCTCAGCCCTTCATTCCAGAGGTGGCCGGCGGCAGATCGTTTGCCGTCGGCCCCGCGACTGCAGGAAATACATGTGCGATGAGCGGGAGTCTGTTTTGACCGGAGAGGAGGGCCACCGGCGCCGATCAGGGCAGAGCAGAGCAGATCGGCGGCGCGCGGCTCCGGCTCAGCCGATGGCCGGAGCAGAGCAGAGCAGACCGGCGGCGCGCGGCTCCGGCTCGGCCGATAGCCGGAGCGGTGTCCGACCGATCCCCGAGCTGATGAGCCTGCGTTCGCAGCGCGTGGGGGCGGAAGCCGACCGATCCCCGAGCCGAGGAGCCTGCGTTCGCAGCGCGTGGGGGCGGAAGCCGACCGATCCCCGAGCCGAGGGGCCTGCGTTGGCAGCGCGTGGGGCCGGAGCAGAACAGAGTAGACCGGCGGCGCGCGGCTCCGGCTCGGCCGATAGCCGGAGTGGTGGCCGACCGATCCCCGAGCCGAGGAGCCTGCGTTGGCAGCGCGTGGGGCCGGAGCAGAACAGAGTAGACCGGCGGCGCGCGGCTCCGGCTCGGCCGATAGCCGGAGCGGTGTCCGACCGATCCCCGAGCTGATGAGCCTGCGTTCGCAGCGCGTGGGGGCGGAAGCCGACCGATCCCCGAGCCGAGGAGCCTGCGTTCGCAGCGCGTGGGGGCGGAAGCCGACCGATCCCCGAGCCGAGGGGCCTGCGTTGGCAGCGCGTGGGGCCGGAGCAGAACAGAGTAGACCGGCGGCGCGCGGCTCCGGCTCGGCCGATAGCCGGAGTGGTGGCCGACCGATCCCCGAGCCGAGGAGCCCGCGTTGGCAGCGCGTGGGGCCGGAGCAGAACAGAGTAGACCGGCGGCGCGCGGCTCCGGCTCGGCCGATAGCCGGAGTGGTGGCCGACCGATCCCCGAGCCGAGGAGCCTGCGTTGGCAGCGCGTGGGGCCGGAGTGGTGCGGTGGCCTACTGATCCCCGAGCCGAGGAGCCCGCGTTGGCAGCGCGTGGGGCCGGGGCGGGGCGGCCGGCCGCGGATGCTGTCTGTGGGCAGATGGAGGCGCTGGACGGCGGTGGCGGGACGGAGCGGGGCTGGCTCAGCGCTCACCGCGGCTGCGTTGTCCCGACGCCGGCCTGGCGCGTGATGAAGTGTGGCGCACCGCCGTCAGAGGCCGTCAGCGGGCGGACAAAGGCGGCGAGCTCACGGCGCTTGCATTCAGCTTTCACCGTTTTCAGAAAATGCGCAGATTCAGGTGATTCAGGTATATTCGCACATACGAGTGTCGCGCATCGAACAACAATTACCAGCCTCTGAATTGTTAGGCTCTTGTCCATCCTTTGAACCGCATCTGCTGTCACCCATTTCTTGCCAATCGTCCAACTACGGTTATGTGAATTCAAAGCGCGCACGGAGGCAGTCAACAGCTGCCGCGGCGCGCGCGGAGCGGAGAGCAATATAGGCTTGCGTGTCGTTGCATATAGCAACATTTGGTTTCGCCCGATCTGGCCAATCGTGCTCGGCCAGAGCGCGGCGCCGCCGGGCCCGTGCCCTCTGCATCGCGAGCGCTCGAAGCGCCGCCGATGGTCCGTCGCAGCCGCTGATGGTCCGTGACAGCCGCCGCGGCCCTCAGCGCGCGCCGCCGGCGGCCGGTCGCGGCGCGTCGGGCTCGAACCGCAGCACCCAGGCCCAGCTGGAGTTGACCCTCTGCAGGGGCGGCAGGGAGACGAGGCCGGCCGCCACCGGTAGCGTCCGGTCGTGCCCCAGCAGGCGACACTGGGTGACGTTCGGCGCCGAGCCCAGCTGCAGCGCCCCGTCGCTGGGCCAGCGCAGCACCAGCGCGTACACCAGCCCTTCGCGCGCCGTGTACCAGACGCTGTCGTCGACGGCATCGTGCTGTGTACTCCAGGGCCGCGAGCCGTAGATGGCCTCGCCGTTGACGGCCAGCCAGCTGCCCAGCTGCGTCAGGCGCTCCTCGAAGATGGGCATGATGACGCCGTCGCGCGTGGGCCCCACGTTGATGAGCACGTTGCCGCCGCAGCTGACCGTCTCGGCCAGCCGCTGCAGCACCGTCTCGATGCTCAGGTAGCTGGAGAGGCCGGTGTCGCGCCGGTAGCCCCAGGCGCCGTCCAGCGTAAAGCAGTTCTCGAACTTGTGCGACTGCAGCGTGCCCGGGTTATAGCCGTCCTGGCAGGTGAAGAAGCCGCCGTGCTTGCAGTTGGTGCCGGAGCCCCAGCGGTCGTTGGTGACGACCGTGTCGCGCACCGGCGACTCGTTGTACAGCCAGGCGAGGAACTGCTGCGAGCGCCAGTACTCGGGCTGGCCGGTCCAGTCGCCGTCCGACCAGATCACCTCCGGCCGGTACCGCTCCACTAGCTCGAACAGCTCCGGTAGCACCTTGCGCGTCACGAACTCGCTGCGGTTGAAGCGGCGGTCGTTGCGGTACAGCGGGTTGTACCACTCGTACAGCGAGTGGTACAGGCCGAACACGAGGTCGGTGCGGTTTCGCACTGCCTCCGCCAGCTCGCCGACCAGGTCGCGTCGCGGCCCCACGTCCATGGCGTTCCAGTTCCACGAGTACTTGGACGGCCAGAGCGTGAATCCCTCGTGGTGCTTGGACGTCAGCACGACGTACTTGGCGCCGGAGCGCTGCAGCACGTCGGCCCAGTGCGCCGGGTCGAAGAGCGATGCGCCGAACTGCGCGGCGAAGTCCGGGTACGTGAAGTCGGGCCGGTAGTTGCGCTCCATGAAGGCGGCAAACTTTGGCCGTTGCGGGTCGAACGGGTCGCGCCAACGCGTCCAGAACCACTCGTCGCCGAAGCTGGGCACCGAGTAGACGCCCCAGTGCAAGAAGATGCCTACTTTGGCGTCGTCGTACCAGGCCGGCAGCGGCCGCGCGTCCAGCGAGTCCCAGGTGGGCACGTACTGGGCGCCGACCCAGGTCAGGGCGACGCTCAGGGTCAGCAGGGCGGCGAGCGGCGGCGCCATGGCGGCGGCGGGCCGGTCTGTGCAGTCGCCGCCGGCCGGCGCACTCGTTCGGCGCTCGAGCTGCTCACTTGACTTGTTTATCGTCCGCTTCTGCGTCGCGCTGGCCGCGAGCGGTCAGGGGCGCAGTCAGCACCCACCGCCCCGGGCAGCCGCCGTCGCAGGGCCACGCCGGCAGCTCCGGCGATCAGCTGACACTATCGGGAAGCTGGCAGAAGCTTGGCCCTTCCATGCTTTAGGGTCTCCTCCTGTCCTCAGAATCTAGGAGCAATGCGGTGGCGAAAGCTTGCGATGAACTGCGCGCTCGGTTTGGAAACCGCGCAGTGTCTGCCAGTACAATGCACGGTAATCTTGATCTGCCCTTTGATAACCCACCGCTATCTGGGACCCTCACTGCGCTGCCCATTCAACAAGCTCCGTTTTCTTTGATAGATTGCATCGCATGGGAGGTTGCTGACTATTGTATTTATTGAGAGCCTTCCTACAGGTATGTACAAAAAGCGGCAGAAGAAAGCAGAAAGCAAGCAGGGTTTCCGTTGAGGGCACATTTTCTGCAGCATAGTCTCCACCAGACCCCAGAGACTGTGGGCATGGCCACAGGGCAGGCCCCACGTGACTGGTACAGGATAGTCCCCACGTGACGCTAGAGACCGTGGGCATGGCTACAGGGCAGGCCCCACGTGACACTAGAGACCGTGGGCATGGCTACAGGGCAGGCCCCACGTGACGCTAGAGACCGTGGGCATGGCTACAGGGCAGGCCCCACGTGACGCTAGAGACCGTGGGCATGGCTACAGGGCAGGCCCCACGTGACTCCAGAGACTGTGGGCATGGCCACAGGGCAGGCCCCACGTGACTCCAGAGACCGTGGGCATGGCTACAGGGCAGGCCCCACGTGACTCCAGAGACCGTGGGCATGGCTACAGGGCAGGCCCCACGTGACTCCAGAGACCGTGGGCATGGCTACAGGGCAGGCCCCACGTGACTGGTACAGGATAGTCCCCACGTGACTCCAGAGACTGTGGGCATGGCTACAGGGCAGGCCCCACGTGACTGGTACAGGATAGTCCCCACGTGACACCATAGACCGTGGGCATGGCTACAGGGCAGGCCCCACGTGACACTAGAGACCGTGGGCATGGCTACAGGGCAGGCCCCACGTGACGCTAGAGACCGTGGGCATGGCTACAGGGCAGGCCCCACGTGACGCTAGAGACCGTGGGCATGGCTACAGGGCAGGCCCCACGTGACTCCAGAGACTGTGGGCATGGCCACAGGGCAGGCCCCACGTGACTCCAGAGACCGTGGGCATGGCTACAGGGCAGGCCCCACGTGACGCTAGAGACCGTGGGCATGGCTACAGGGCAGGCCCCACGTGACGCTAGAGACCGTGGGCATGGCTACAGGGCAGGCCCCACGTGACTCCAGAGACCGTGGGCATGGCTACAGGGCAGGCCCCACGTGACTCCAGAGACCGTGGGCATGGCTACAGGGCAGGCCCCACGTGACGCTAGAGACCGTGGGCATGGCTACAGGGCAGGCCCCACGTGACTCCAGAGACTGTGGGCATGGCCACAGGGCAGGCCCCACGTGACTCCAGAGACCGTGGGCATGGCTACAGGGCAGGCCCCACGTGACGCTAGAGACCGTGGGCATGGCTACAGGGCAGGCCCCACGTGACGCTAGAGACCGTGGGCATGGCTACAGGGCAGGCCCCACGTGACTCCAGAGACCGTGGGCATGGCTACAGGGCAGGCCCCACGTGACTCCAGAGACCGTGGGCATGGCTACAGGGCAGGCCCCACGTGACGCTAGAGACCGTGGGCATGGCTACAGGGCAGGCCCCACGTGACTCCAGAGACTGTGGGCATGGCTACAGGGCAGGCCCCACGTGACTCCAGAGACTGTGGGCATGGCCACAGGGCAGGCCCCACGTGACTCCAGAGACCGTGGGCATGGCTACAGGGCAGGCCCCACGTGACTCCAGAGACCGTGGGCATGGCCACAGGATAGTCCCCACGTGACTCCAGAGACCGTGGGCATGGCTACAGGGCAGGCCCCACGTGACTGGTACAGGATAGTCCCCACGTGACTCCAGAGACTGTGGGCATGGCTACAGGGCAGGTCCCACGTGACTCCATAGACCGTGGGCATGGCTACAGGATAGTTCCCACGTGACACCAGAGACTGTGGGCATGGCTACAGGGTGTTGCAAGCCTACATGTCGTTCGTATTTTTTGTGTTTTTTCATTGCAAATTGTGCTGTTTTGCTGTGTATTACGTCACTGTTTCATATATGTATATATATATATATATATATATATATATATATATATATATATATATATAGTGCATGTACTGCTCTGAGTTTCAGCGCATTTTAGGAGCACCATGCCAACGAATAAGCTATAAAAATAGCAACAAACAAATAACAAAAATAAAACACTGCGCTTTCTCAGACCCTCGACGCATCCATGTGTTATTTATTGTGCTCGTTTCCATGTTTCCTCACCGCTTCTTTCAGGTAACATGCATCAAATAGCACAGAAACGGACTTGCACTCAGTTCTGTTTTAGAGGCCCTTGATTGGAGGAGGAAAAGGCGCGGCCCTTCACGTAATCTGACCCCATCTTCAGACGGCCGCGACCGGCGCCAACTGATTGGTCTCCGCGCGCGTCGGAATTTATGACTTTGTGGTGAGAATCAAGTAAGTTACATTACATCTTCTGATCAGGTCAAAGGGACACGGCGGCTTTAGATCTCTGCGTTCGGCCAAGCAAGGTCTCAGTCAGCTCACAGTCGCATCCGACCGAGCGGGCCTCAGTCAGCTCACAGCTCACAGTCACATCTGACCAAGCGGGCCTCAGTCAGCTCACAGCTCACAGTCACATCTGACCAAGCGGGCCTAAGTCAGCTCACAGCTCACGGTCACATCTGACCGAGCGGGCCTCAGTCAGCTCACAGCTCACAGTCGCATCTGACCAGCGGGCCTCAGTCAGCTCACAGCTCACAGTCGCATCTGACCAGCGGACCTCAGTCAGCTCACAGCTCACAGTCACATCTGACCGAGCGGGCCTAAGTCAGCTCACAGCTCACGGTCACATCTGACCAGCGGGCCTCAGTCAGCTCGCAGCTCACGGTCACATCTGACCAGCGGGCCTCAGTCAGCTCACAGCTCACAGTCGCATCTGACCAGCGGACCTCAGTCAGCTCACAGCTCACAAGTTAGACGATTGCCAGCAGGAAGAGGCTTTGAGAGTGTTCGGCGCGCGTTTGTCCATGACATGCGTACTTAGTCGCCAGATGTAGGAGTACGGACGTAATTTTCCAAAAAGGATCGCATAAGGGTCTCTAGCAGTGATCTTGCACTTCTTGGGGGCATTCGTTTCGTGCTCTGTCATAGGCCTAATGTTACGATCTGAAACATGAGACTCTGGTCCCCCTGAAAGTGTCCAGGCCTACGACGCTATGTAGGGAATTACGAAAACACTACGGCAGGTGTCAATATCACTTGCAATCGTACCGTGCTTGGATTTCGACCCGAGACGAGGGCCGAGGATCTGGAACGCGTCAGCCCCAGCTCCAGTGGCTGGAGCTGGGGGCGCAGCCTGGCCCAGCAAGATTTCAAGGGAGCATTGTTTAAAAGATATTGCGTGTGCGTTTCCATCGTGACACTTTGCGGTCGCGCAAGCGTTAGACGACGTCTGCAATGAGTAGGCCTTAAAAGAGCGCGCATGACCTACAAACAGCATCGTGATTTTGACGAGGTCACTCCATACTGGATCGCACTCAGTAAACGCCATGGTTTTGTTTGTTTGTTTTTATTTCAACGCAGGCTCCGTCTGTCCCAACCCGGTTATTTCCTAAGAGTCAACTAGCAATGTGCTGCGACCGTTATTTCCACACATGGCGACGTTAGTTGCAGAACAATTGGCTGATGCACATGCAGAAGCCATTGAGATGCAGTCGTGTACAAAGCATCGCCAACAATTGGAGCCATTGTTGAGGTGGGCATGCCTTCCCAACGCGCGCCGTGACTTACGTTGGAAAGACACGTCTATCAGTCATATTTCATGCACTTGTGACTGATGATTTGTGATAGAACCAAACCTATCCATGAAAGGCACGATTTATTTCCCCGCCGTCCTACGTCGCGGGATTATTGAGCCATTTGGCTGTTTCCTACCGAGGTCTCCGGATAGGGTCTCCTCTCTCTCTCTCTCTCTCTCTCTCTCTCTCTCTCTCTCTCTCTCTCTCTCTCTCTCTCTCTCTCTCTCTCTCTCTCTCTCTCTCTTTGCCTCTCGCGCTCTCGTTTTTTCACGTATCTCCATCGCCATTGATCATCGCCTGAAAACCGGCGTAGCCGCCCGCTCCGACAGTGCGCCGAGATCGCCGTCCCGCGGCCAATCTGGCGCAGCGCCACCAGACGGCCAAGGAGAGAAGCGGAGCGAGGAGAGAGCGTCGGAGGAGCCCGGGTGTGCCGCCGCGGCCCACTCCCAGCCAACACACATGCCTTTTAAATGCCAGACCTCTTTGGCGGACGTTTAATTTGGCGAGTGCGGTCATGTTTCGTGAACAGCTCCCCTGTTTGCGGCCAAATCTGATGCGTCGCTCACCCGCCACGACTCATCTGCGTTGCTGCAGCACTTGTGAGTCAAATGCTGACGAACGGCCGCCGCAAACAGCGCCAGACAATTTGGCCGGATTTAAATGTCTCGCCAGAGTTCATTCCACCGCCGGCCCGTGGGAACGGCGGCGCGCCCTGTCGTGTTTCTCCTATAGTTGTGGTCGGGGCGCAGGCGGCAGGGCCGGAGCCTTCGACGGCGCCCTCCGGCCTCTCGTCTTCGAACATCGCTCGCCGCGGCCGCCCAGACAGCCAGGTGAGCCCCTCCCCCTCACCCCCCCCCCCCCCCCCCACGTCGCCGCTTCCTGGTCGGCGGCGCACGCGCGCTGTTGCCAGGCGGCGGCGGCGCGCTGCACGCCCGTCTGCATTCCGGCCGGTGGCCTGCGTGGTCGGCGTG